GGCAGCGCGGGGATCGAAGAAATCCAGAATACCCTGACGAAAAGCATATGGTTTCTTGATGCACGCCCCCAATTGTACCGCGTCACTCGGTGCCTCCGCGTCGCAGAGTTCAACCTTGAACGCCGTCGCCGGCGTCGCCGGCGCGCCATCGCCGCAGGAACCGAATTACCGCAGACCTTGCAGACGAGGCAGCGCGGGGGAAGACGAGGGATAGGAAAGCCTTTCTCCAGACGAGCACGGACGGCTTCTGCTCCGCTCGGAGGAGCACCGCGGCGTCTCGGCCCTTGTGGCCTCGTGCATCTCGCGGGCTCTCGGCATGCACACGGCGCGCCGCTGCTGGCCACTCGCCGGCGCGTCCAAGCGCGGCGGCGATCCCACAGAGGGGAGGCGGCAAAATGAGGATCGGGGCACCACACGACACCCGACGCCTTGAAGGAGCCACAGCGTAGAGTGGCAAGAAACGACTGGAGCTGCCCCGATGTCAGGGGGAGGGGGCGTGCATCTCTGCGCGTGGAGAAAAGGGGTCTGGATGGAGACGGGGAGCCTGGACCCCAGTGCGAAGCCTGTGGCCAGCTTTTCCACCTCGAGCCGTTCTTGTTGCAGGGTCGGCTAGGTCTGGAGTACGATTTTGTTTAGCACTCCGCCCCCAGTCGCTGCCCTTGAAGACCTCCCTTCTCCACGGCGAGCCGTGCGCCTCGCGGGTTTTTGCCCGCACACGGCACTGGCCGCTGGCCGCGCGGCGCTACCGCCGCGCGACCCAGGCCAGCCGCGGCACCGGCGGCGACGCCAGCGGTTCCGCCAGCGGAGAGGAGGAGGAAGAGGAGCAGGAAGGAGGAAGAGGAGGAGGAAGAGGAGACGTGGCCCAAGACGAGGCTAGACGGCTTCGTCAGCATCGCCCAGGAGGACTCGCAGAAGCACCAGCCACGGTTGAAGTACTGCTCCGTGTTGCCCGACTGGGTGTACTTTGCATCATCGCCGTAATCATCTGGAAACCGCGTCAGCATGAAGACCATGCACTCCTAAACCTGGTGACTCATGACCAGGCCATGGTTGGTATGCAGCTCGCACTGATGAGCGACACTGGTCATCAAGGACAGGCAAGGAGCGCAGCAAGGGAAGGCACAACTCGAAACAAAGGAGGAGAGAAGCGGGGCGAAGAGCGAGGGGGACCGCGCGCGGGGGGCGCGGGCCCCGGCGCTCCCGCGCGGGACGCTCTCCGCGGCGCCCCGCGGCGCGGCCTCAGATCCTCTCGCGCTGCAGCCTGGGCGGGGCCGGATCGAACACGGCCAAGCACCTGACAAGACGCTGGTGGCCGGCGAGGGTCCTCTCGCAGGTGCCCGCCGCGAGGTCCCAGACCCTGAGGGTCCTGTCGTCGGACCCGGACACCACGCGGGCGAACTCCACCGCGATCGGGGCCTCCTGCTCGCAGTACGCCATGAGGAAACCGATCTCTTTGTCTGAATACTCTTGCCCGCCACAGAGGTGCGCGACGTGCGCGACCGTGCTGCACTTGCTGTCCAGGACGCCGTTCATGAGCACGGACACGTCGAAGGGCTTCGAAAGCGCCGACATGATCGTGCCCTGGTCCCGCCGGGCGTGCTTCGCCGCCCACGCCTCGGCATGCAGGAGGCAGTAGTGGGCCTCCCGGAGGCGCCGGTGGCGCTCGTCCTTCCTGCTGAGTTGCTTGGAGCAGTGGCCCAGTTCCATGCCCAGCTCTCGCTTCATGTCGTCCCCGTCGAAGAGCTGCTTCACGGCGTGCACCAGATCGCTGTGCACCATCCCACCAGGGTTGTTCTTGTTGAGAGAGGTGACCAGTATGGCCGTCACGCGCAGCGCTGTCGCCCGGACCCTCTCGTCGAGAGAGGAGCTCTGGTGGAAGGCGAGACATGCTGTGCGCTCCGCTTCGACCGCTGCCTCGCAGAACGTCTTCATCACGTAGTCGACCTGATTATTGTCTCCCTGCTCTTCAAGTTCGAAGAGCTCCGGGATCTTGCGCAGGAGGCCCTGCACCATGTCCCCCGCTGCAAGCAGCGGCCCTGTGCGCACGAGCTCAAGACTTTCATGGATCTCTCCAAGTTGCGTCCCAAACAACTTTTTCAAGATCTTGCCAACGTCTGAACCCTCCGTCAAGCTCACCATGGCGTTGCAGATGCAGCGACCAAGGAGCTCGACCGGGAAGGACAGGGAGAGCCTTAGGCTGGTGCCCTCCAGGAGCCTCGACACCTGGCCGATAGCCTCGTTGATCTTGTCCAACCGCGCCAGGGGAATCGCATCCCAGTGGGGGACCTCCTCCTGCAAAGTCGACACCTCTAGGCTCAGGTCGCCGCCATCGGCGGGCTGGCCCTCGGGCGCGGCGGCGCCGCCGTTCTCCTCGGCGCCCATGCCCGCGAAATGGTCTGCCGCGAGGTCCGCGGCCGAGGCCGACCCGCGCCCGCAGCAGACGCACATGTTGACGCACCTGCGCACCGACTGCATGGCGGGATGTACGGCGCTGGGATGCAAGGCCAGAAGATTGATTTGATGCGCGGAACCGCCTGGGCCAAGTCTTGAGCCAGATTTGGGCTTGAGCCAAAATGGCTACGGAGGAGGAGGAGGAGGAGGAGGAGGAGGAGGAGGAGGGGGAGGGGGAGGAGGAGGAGGAGGAGGAGGAGGAGGAGGAGGGGGAGGAGGAGGAGGAGGAGGAGGAGGAGGAGGAGGAGGAGGAGGAGGAGGAGGAGGAGGAGGAGGAGGAGGAGGAGGAGGAGGAGGGGAGGGGAGGGGGAGGGGGAGGGGAAGGAGGGGAAGGGGAGGAGGGGAGGAGGAGGAGGAGGGGAAAGGAGGAGGAGGGGAGGGGAGGAGGAGGAGGAGGAGGAGGAAGGATAAGACGAATCATGTTTTTTTTTTTTGTAATAATATTCATAATAACATTAACATACTAATAATATTCATAATAGTAGTAGTAATAGTAAAAATACGAATAATAAGCATCATAATAATACGAATACTGAGAATAATACGAATACTCATACTACGAATTCTAAGAATCAGAAGAAGAATAAGGGGAGGAGGAGGAGGAGCAATCATAATAGGAAGGAGAGTACGACTAATGAGAATACGAAACAATAGTATTATTCATAATAATAGTGATAATAATCATACTGATAATAATAAGAAGAAGAATACTAAAAATACGGATGCTCATACGAATACCAATAATACTAACACTAATACTACTACTCATGTTATCACTAATCATACGAATACTACTAATAATAAAGTTATTATTAATACCAACACGAATATTAATAATAATAAATAAATAAATAAATAAATAAATAAACAAACAAATTAATAATAATAATAATAACAATAAGAACAACAATAATACTAATGCGAATCATAACAGTAATAATAATACTGATAATAATAATACCACTACTAATAATATAGTAAAAACAAGAAGACGAATGCGAAGAAGAACAATACGATGATGATGAGGAGGAGGAGGAGGTGGAGGAGGTGGAAGAGGAGGAGGAGGAGGAGGAGGAGGAGGAGGAGGAGGAGGAGGAGGAGGGGGAGGGGGAGGGGAGGGGGAGGGGGAGGGGGAGGGGGAGGAGGGGGAAGGGGAGGAGGGGGAGGAGGAGGGGAGGGGAAAGGGAGGAGGTAGGGGAGGGGGAGGAGGAGGGAGGAGGAGGAAGGAAGGAGGAGGTGGAGGAGGAGGCGGGGGGGGTCTAGGAGGAGGAAGAGGAGAGGAGGAGGCGGGGAGGAGGGGGAGGAGGAGGAGGAGGAAGAGGGGAAGGAGGAGGGAAGGGGGGGAGGGAGTGGGGGAGAAAGAGGAGGAGGAGGAGAGGAGGAGGAGGATGAGGAGGAGAAGGAGGAGGAGGAGGAGGGGAGGAGGAAGGGAGGGAGTGAGGCAGAGGCGGAGGCGGTAGCGGAGGCGGAGGCGGAGGCGGCGCGGCGGAAGGAGGAGGAGGGGAGGAGGAGGAGGATGGAGAGGAGGAGGGGGAGGGGGAGGGGGAGGAGGAGGAGGAGGAGGAGGAGGAGGAGGAACGGAGGAGGGGAGGAGGAGGAGGAGGAGGAGGAGGAGGAGAGGGGCGGAGGCTGGGGGGGTAGGAGGAGCGAAGAGGAGGAGGAGGAGGAGGAGGAGGAGGAGGCGGCGGAGGAGGGGGAGGAGGAGAGGAGGAGAAGAGGGGAAGGAGGAGGGAGGGGGGGAGGAGTTGGGGAGAAAGGAGGAGGAGGAGAAGAGGAGGAGGAGGAGGATGGAGGAGGAGGAGGGGAGGAGGAGAAGGAGGAGGAGGAGGGAGAGGAGGGACGAGAGGAGGAGAGGAGGAGAGGAAGAGAGGAGGAGAGGAGGAGAGTAGGGAAGAGAGGAGGGGGGGTAGGAGTAGGAGGAGGAGGAGGAGGAGGAGGAGGAGGAGGAGGAGGAGGACGAGGAGAATCGAGGATAGAACCCGAGGACCCAGGTTCCAGGATTCAGGTTAAAGTATCGTTTTTTCCGGGCCTCCTCGTCGCCGCGGTTGGGCCCGCTTGGCAATGTTGGTCAAGACGCGCCCCTGGAGAGGTCCCAGAGTCGACCTGTGTCAGTTTTCGGCCCCAGGGAGACCTCCCGGGGGGCTGTCAAAAACAATTTTGGGACGAGAAAGCAGCGCTGAGGAAGGGGTCGGGACTTGTGCGGAGCCCGTATTTCTAGTCTTCGTCGCCCTCATCGCCAATGCACCGGCGATGCGGCTCGATCTGGAACCCGATTTTCTCCGCGCCAACGGCGCCGATACGTCGCCGATGTCGCGGACGCATCGTCGATGCATCGGTGCTGCATCCGCGATTTGGCGCGACCCTCCGACCCCATCCGAGCGGACCCCATGTGGGAGGCCTCTCATATCATGATGTTCCAACTTACTTTAGTCTTGATCACCAGAGAGAGCACCAAGAAAGCACCGAAACTGGTCCGTAGCCACTTTGGCTCAGGCTTTCTCGGCCATATCTTCGCCCCAGCTGTTCTCCTGGCGCCCACCAAGGGGACCATGGCCCTCCGCTCCAGCGTGCTCCCGACGGCCGTCGTGGCTGCCGTGTGCCTCGTGGCGCTGCGCGGCCTACTCGCCCCGGGCCCGAGCCAGGCCTTCGCTGCGCCAGAGGTCGGCCTCACGCAGTCGGTCCACCGCCAGTGCAGGCCCGTGGCGGGCGGCGACCGCGCCCTCGCCTCCGGCGCTGCCCCAGCCGTCCTGAGCACCGTTCCGGCGCGCCCAGGCGTCGCCGCGCACTTCAAGGTGACGCTGGAGACGCCGGACGGCACGCAGGAGTTCGAGTGCCCCGAGGACGTGTACATCTTGGACCAGGCCGAGGAGGAGGGCCTCGAGCTGCCCTACTCCTGCCGCGCGGGCTCGTGCTCGAGCTGCGCGGGCAAGGTGCTGTCTGGCGAGATCGACCAGTCGGACCAGGCCTTCCTGGACGAGGACCAGACGGGGGAGGGCTTCTGCCTCACGTGCGTGACGTACGCGACCTCGGACGTGACCATCAAGACCCACTGCGAGGACGACCTGTGAGATGCGGGGGACGCGGTCGGAGCACAGCTGCGGCAGTGGTGCCGATTTGCTTCTCGATTTCCGTCGATCCAGTATACAGTATTTGCTTGGGCGAGCCTCGCGGTTAAGGACGCGCGTAGTCCAAGCTTGCGTGGATAGCTGCGGAGTGGCATGGCGGTCCTCGCAGGTCTTTGCCCGATCATAAAAAAGAAAACCCCGAAACTGGAGGGTTTTCACGTGTCGGGCCCTGGGAGGCGATACTCGTTCGACACTGTTTCGATTCCGGGTGCCCAGAATTATGCCTGGGATGTGGTCCTGAAGTCTTAAGTGCGATGGGAACCACATATCAAGTCTCAGGAGGGGAAAAACACACAGACACAAAGAATCGTCGATTCCTGGAAAATATTTGGAAAATATGGGAAGTGGGGGCGAAGACAGAAACCCCCAAAATATGGGAAAATATGGGGAACCATTTTATTTGTGTGTATCTATTTGTGTGTCCCAGGGCCCCTTGAACAACATGAGTCAAGTCGTCGGATCTGTTCGGGGGCGCGCCGCCGTCTCCGGCTCGGGCGCCCCGGCCCCGCGCGGCCCAGGCGGCCCGCCCCCCGGGGGGCCGCGCGCCCGATGGCGGGCGAGGGGCCCCGCGGGAGCCCCGCCGCCGCCGACTGGTGGGAGGCCGTGGAGGCCCTCAGCGAGGGGTGGCCGCGCCCGCACACGCGCTGCCTCGAAGAGCCAAAGGCGGCAGATCCAGGCCTGCCAGAGGGGGTCGGAGTCGATGGGGTCGGCGGATCGCGCCGCATCGCCGAGGCATCGCCGATGCATCGCCGATGTGTGTTCTCCGCGCCGACGTCGCCGATGCATCGGCGGCGCCGTTGGTGCATCGCCGATGCACTGGCGATGCATCGGCGATGCACCGGTGATGCGACGCGCTCCTCCGACACCATCTGCTCGGACCCCAGCTAGGGAGCCTCCAGCAGAAGCAAAGATCCGCAGCCGCGCGCAGAGGGGGGGGGAATTTGGGGAGGGGGGCAGGCTTCCGAGAAGCGCCCCATGCTCCCCAGAGGGCGCGGGCCCTGTCCGTAGATGCAGGGCCGGCGCCTTCCATGAAGCAGCCTCCGTCCAAGAAGCTTCCCCCCCCTCCCCCACCCGTGTGCGCGCGGCCACAAAACACACATAACTATTAATTCATCAACTGAATATCATTCATTACCAGTATATCTAAATATTATTACTATATTTCCTGGTGCAGATTCCTTATTTCATATGTAATTTGAAGTTCAAATCGGAGCTCCGCGCGGGCTTCTCGGCTCGGCGCCTAGGCCGCGCCTTCCCTCCGGGCGAGCGGGGCGCGCCCCGAGGGAAGGCGCCGGGGGCGCCGCCCGTGGGGCTCTGCGGGCGCCGGCCCAGGAAGGCCGCGCGGGGCTCCGCGAGCTGCCGCTCCTGCCGCTCCTCCCGCCGCACCCTGAGCGCGCGCGCGGCTCGTGTGTGCTTTGCGGCACATCCAAGCGTCGGCCTGCTCGGTGCCTCGGGCCAGCTGTGGCTGCGTCTGCCGCCCTTCGCTCCTCGCCGCGTCCGCCCCCCGCGCCCCGAGCGGCGCCCCTGCCGCCGCTTCCTCGAGGCCGGGGCCTGCCCCTTCGGCGCACGCTGCACCCACTCGCACGAGGCGCCCGCGTCCGGGCGGGGCGCGCCCGCGGGGTCGCCGCGCGTGTGCGTCCACCGGATGGAGGACCGAGGCGCCCGCCGGTGTGCCTTTGGCGGTGCGCGGCCCCAGCTGGGTCGTCGGATGGAAGCCTCGTGCTCCTCTTCCCCCCCATCCCTTCCCGCTCCTCTCCTCCCCTGTCCTCTCCCCCCCTGCCCCCCTCCGACCTCCTGCTTCGCTTCCTCCTTCTCCTCCTCTTTCTCCTTCTCTTTCTCCTTCTCTTTCTCCTGCTCTTTCTCCTCCTCCTCCTCCTCCTCCTCCTCCTCCTCCTCCTCCTCCTCCTCCTCTTCTTTCTCCTCCTCCTCCTGGCCCAGGCCAGGGGTGGGAACGAACTCCTAGTGGCTTTCCTGGCCGCCTTTGCGTCGTCTGGGCACGTCGCACTGCATAGGAGGGAAGGAGGAGGAGGAGGATGAGGAGGAGGAGGAGCAGGAGGAGGAGAAGGAGGAGGAGGAGGAGGAGGAGGAGCAGGAGCAGGAGGAGGAGGAGGAGGAGGAGGAGGAGGAGCAGAGTTCCGTGTCTGCTGGCCCCGGGGCCCGACCGTGGGTTCGCGCGGAGGCCGGTCTCCAGGGCAAATTCACGCAGGCGACGACAGAAGCACAGCGTCGGAGACCCTCCGAGGATCGCAAGGTCGGGCGCGGCGGGGTGTCCCTCCTGCTGCGGACGCTAGCCACGGGCGGCTTCGACGGCCTGGCGGCGCCACCCGAGGAGGCGGACCTGCTGCTGGCCAACGCCTTCCCGACGCCGGCGCTGCTGGCGAAGCTGCGGCGGGGGTGCTCGCCAGGAGGGGAACCCAGAGATCGCGAGCGCATTGAAAGCATTCAGACGGAGGTTTTTTGTCGTTTTCGGCCTCCAGATGCCCTCGGCCAGCCCCGGGGCCGTCAAAAGCGGCTAGCAGGAAGAAAGGCCAGCCCCCGGGAGCCAGCGGGTCGAGGCCTCCGTTGACCCAGTGTTGAAGAAATCAAGACATCGGATCTCTGGGAAGGGGTCCAGACCCAGACCCCCTCGCGTCGTGAACAAAAACATGACGGGAGGTGTTTCGCCATTTGTGGCGTCTGGGGGGGGCTTACCCGGGCTCCGGGGCCGTCAAAGGAGCTTGGCGCGGCCCCAAGTAGGGGTAAGGTTGGCGTTGTTAGGCGTTGCTTTGCATTACTTGGCACTGCCTGGCACTGCCGCGCGCCATTTCTTTGCATGTATTGGCATTTCTTTGCAATGCCAGGGGGCCCGACGAACAAGAGCGGGGCACCCGAGGCAGTCGAGCAAGGAACAGAGGTCTGCAACGGGGGGAAACCCGGGGAACAAGCCATGGGGGACCCGCGGAGCCCAAGCGGGGAAACAAGGCTGGAGAGCCCCACAAGAGCCCAAGAGCGCGGAGCCCGAGACACGAGACACGAGGCAGACTGCGAGGCACCAGGCCGAACAGGGCTGGGGCCACCCCCGAGCTCAACCCCCCCGTGGGCTCCGAGGAGGAACGCCGGGGCCAACCGCGCCCGGCACCCACCCGCCGACCACAGGCATCGCCTGTGATGGGCAGCGCCCGATGCAGGAGAAACAGGGGCTCACGCGAGGGCGCGAGGTTTTTGTTCGCGCTTCGCGGTTCGCGGTCCTCGTTTCTCACCCCCCCTCCTCCTCCTCCTCCTCCTTGTTTTCTTGTTCTCCCTCCGGGGGGGCGGCGCGAGAGCGCGGAGTTGTTCGCGCTTCGCGGAGCGCGGAGCGCGAAGTTGGGAGCCCTCAGAACAACTCACCGGGCAGGTTCCGCTACTCGCAGAGTGCCTACTCGCAAACGTCCGAAGCACACACATGCGTTCCTGTATGTCATGAGCCGCAGATGCCCCCGCGGCGGAAGTCCAGGCCACCTGCGATCAGTTACTTTCTGCGAGTAGTGGAACGCGCCCGTCGAAAAGCGGCTCGGGCTGAAAGGCCGGCGCCAGGAAACGGGTCGAGACCTCCGGGCGTCGACGCTGTGACAGAAGGGTCGCGGCGTCGGGGGCCTGGGCTTTGGTCGGGCGTGTCCCCCTACAGGAGGAAGATTCGAACATGGTCCAGAAATCGCATGAGAACGACTCTTCTAGCATCTTTTGTTCTAGCTTCTAGCTTTTTCTGGGCTGTTTTGCATTGTTCGTCCAAAAACCAGCCTGTAGGAGGACCTGCCCGACCTGAGCCTGGTCCCCGAGTCGCTGCTGGCCGCTCCCGCGGCCCGCCGCTGGGGCCCCACAACGGGGGCGGGGCAGGCGGCGAGAGGCCCCCTGCAGGGCCCCTGGGTCTCCTCCGGGACCCGTTCCCGGGAGGAGGAGGAGGAGGAGGAGGAGGAGGAGAGGAGGAGGAGGAGGAGGAGCACGGAGGAGGAGGAGGAGGGAGGAGAGGAGGAGGAGGAGGAGAGGAGGAGGGGCGAGCGGCGACTTCGCTCCAGCGAGAACCAGAGAGGACACTAGTTAGCGAATTGGCCAGCGGGCAAAGAGGGGGGGGGGGGGGGCGGCCGAGAGGACGAAGGGACGCTCAGACGCCGAAGAGTTCGACGACGAGCATCCTGGGGGGACAGCAGCAGCCATGCGCGCAGGGCCAAGGCGCGGTGGGCGGCCGTGGCGAACCACGGTGGCAAGGGCGGTGGGGAGCGGACCTGTTCCCAGACATGCTCGCGTCGCAACAAACTGGCCTGGCGAAGGACCCAACCATATTCGAAGAAGACAAAACACATACACATAAAACTTTTGGCGCTCCGCGCGGATTTCTTGGGTCCGCGCCTGGGCCCTCCCAGCGGTGCCTCCGGCGCCGCCCCTGGCGCGCTCCGCGCGCCAGGGAGGGGGATCCAGCGCAGATCCAAGAAATCCGCGCGGAGCGCCAAAAGTTTATGTTGATAGCGTTCTAGCGAAGGACCCAATCGAGCTCCCTGTGGGGCCACGAGTCGTGTGAAGGGTTGTGCCGGAATGGGTCGGGTGTGCCATGCTGACCCCGCCACTGGGGCCTTCGGTATGGGGCCAGCGACCGTGTGAGGGGTGTGCCGACATGTGGCGACGGTGCCGTGCGGACCTTGCCATTGGGACCTTCGGTGGGGTTCCCTACGGGGCCACGAACCGTGCGAAGGTGGTGCCGAAATGTGGCAGCAATGCCATGCGGACCCCGTGTGGGGGGTTGTGCTGAAATCGGGCGGCGCTGTCATGCGGACCTGCCACGGAAACATTCGCTGGCGCTCCCTATGGGGCCACGAACTGTGTGAGGGGTTGTGCCGAAATGGGGCGGCGGTGCCATGCGGACCTTCCCATTGGTGCCATCGGTGGAGCTCCCCCGTTGGGCCACGAACCGTGTGAGGGGGTGTGCCGAAATGGGGCGGCGGTGCCATGCGGACCTTGCCACTGAGGCCATCGGTGGAGCTCCCCCGTTGGGCCACGAAACGTGTGAGGAGTGTGCCGAAATGTGGCGGCGGTGCCATGCGGACCCTGCCATTGGGGCCTTCGGTGGAGCTCCCTATGGGGCCACGAACCGTGTGAGGAGCTGTGCCGCGATGTGGCAGCGGTGCCATGCGGACCTTACCATTGGGGCCCTCGGTGGAGCTCCCTATTGGGCCACGAACCGTGTGGGGGGTGTGCTGGAAAGGGGGCGGCGGTGCCATACGGACCCTGCCATTGGGGCCTTCGGTGGAGCCCCATATGGGGCCATGAACCGTATGAGGGGTGTGCCGAAATCGGGCGGCGGTGCCATGCGGACCCTGCTTCGGTGGAGCTCCCTACGGGGCCACGAACCGTGTGAAAGGGTTTGCCAGAATGGTGGACATGCGGAGAGGAGGCAAGGAGGTGAGGAAGGGGCAGCGGGAGGAGTGCACGCGGGGACCGTCTCTTCAAAACGAGGACCCAACACCACAGGATGGTTGGGAACAAAACATCTCGGCGGGCGGTTCCTTTTCAGGGGAACGAGCAATGACATAAACGTAAAAACTTTGAGCTCCACGCGGATTTCGCGGTTCGGCGCTGGACCCCCCTGGCGGCGCCTCTGGCGCCGCTCTTGGCGCGCTCCGCGCGCCAGGGAGGGGGGTCCAGCGCCGATCCGAGGAATCCGCGCGACCCTCAGAGCTTCTATGTTTATGTCATTGTTCGTTCCCTTTTTGTTGAGTCGGGACTGTACCTCTACAGGGGGAATCTTCAAACATAGTGTGGGGACTATGTTTTAGAACATGTTGTTTGACTATTTGGCGGTCTTGGCGGAGTATCTTTAATTTTTCGCCCCGAATCCGCCCGTAGGGGGACACGCCCGACCTAACCCCACTTATGTTCTTCTTGCTTTCGGGCTCATGGGGGCGGGCCGTTAACGTCATGATGACTCAGGACGAAACACCCGTCCCTGGGAAAGGTTCGGGACGTCTGGGGACCACGTATTGAAGAAATCAGGACGTCGCGGGTCTGCGTTTCCTTCATGCTGAGGTGCACCGTGAACCACTTCTCGAAGAAGGAACAACTTCGTAAACATCAGCGTTAGGAGCTTCGCACGGACTACTTTGGATCTGCGCCAGGCTCCCCTCATTGGCGGCGCCTCAGGCGCCGCCCGCTCCGCAGGCCAGGGAGGGCGGGGCCCAGCGCCGATCCGAGAAATCCGCGCCGACCTCCGAAATGCTGTGTTGCTGCCCCTCCGATCCGACATAGCGAAACCATGCAACATCGTAAGACATGACGCCCGGAGCCCCAAACCCCATCTGCCTGCTTCTTTTTGAAAGCCGGACCGGCCTGTGAGGGTCCTATAGAAGGCCAGAAAAAAGCGAGACAACGTCCGACAGGAGCGAAGACGCCCGGCTCGAAGCAAGGGAGTCGCCAGGATCTCAGGGACGCCGTTTTTCGAAGAAGGCAAAATAGCATAAAGATAAACTTTTGGCGCTCCGCGCGGACTCTTTGGATCCGCGCCAGGGAGGGGGGCCCAGCGCAGATCCAAGAAATCCGCGCGGAGCTGCAACAGTTTATGTCGATGTGCTGTTGAGCAGGGGCCGACCGTCCCAGCATTCCTATAGTCCTACCACGACATGTTCTTAGAACCCCCAAAAATGTTCGAAGAACAAAAACAATGTTCTTAGCACATAAACCCCATGTGTTAAAACAAGACAGTCCCAGCCAGACATGTCCTAATTTGAGGGAGTTTCTGTGGAACTCACGTCATCCTCACCCCCGGCGCGAAGAGCACGAGCCCAGAGCGGCCTCCGGCACCGTTTCCGGACGGATCCGCTGGATCCGCTGGATCCGCTGGATCCGGTGACGAATCCCAAACCGGCGCCCTCGCCTGAGACATCCTCACAAAACGGGCCCCGGGGGGGATGCCCAGAGGAGCCCAGAGCGGCCTCCGGCACCGTTTCCGGACGGATCCGCTGGATCCGCTGGATCCGCTGGATCCGGTGACGAATCCCAAACCGGCGCCCTCGCCTGAGACATCCTCACAAAACGGGCCCCGGGGGGGATGCCCAGAGGAGCCCAGAGCGGCCTCCGGCACCGTTTCCGGACGGATCCGCTGGATCCGCTGGATCCGGTGACGAATCCCAAACCGGCGCCCTCGCCTGAGACATCCTCACAAAACGGGCCCCGGGGGGGATGCCCAGAGGAGCCCAGAGCGGCCTCCGGCACCGTTTCCGGACGGATCCGCTGGATCCGCTGGATCCGCTGGATCCGACGAATCCCAAACCGGCGCCCTCGCCTGAGACATCCTCACAAAACGGGCCCCGGGGGGGATGCCCAGAGGAGCCCAGAGCGGCCTCCGGCACCGTTTCCGGACGGATCCGCTGGATCCGCTGGATCCGGTGACGAATCCCAAACCGGCGCCCTCGCCTGAGACATCCTCACAAAACGGGCCCCGGGGGGGATGCCCAGAGGAGCCCAGAGCGGCCTCCGGCACCGTTTCCGGACGGATCCGCTGGATCCGCTGGATCCGGTCCGACGAATCCCAAACCGGCGCCCTCGCCTGAGACATCCTCACAAAACGGGCCCCGGGGGGGATGCCCAGAGGAGCCCAGAGCGGCCTCCGGCACCGTTTCCGGACGGATCCGCTGGATCCGCTGGATCCGGTGACGAATCCCAAACCGGCGCCCTCGCCTGAGACATCCTCACAAAACGGGCCCCCCCACCCTCCGGCACCGTGGACGGATCCGCTGGATCCGCTGGATCCGGTGACGAATCCCAAACCGGCGCCCTCGCCTGAGACATCCTCACAAAACGGGCCCCGGGGGGGATGCCCAGAGGAGCCCAGAGCGGCCTCCGGCACCGTTTCCGGACGGATCCGCTGGATCCGCTGGATCCGGTGACGAATCCCAAACCGGCGCCCTCGCCTGAGACATCCTCACAAAACGGGCCCCGGGGGGGATGCCCAGAGGAGCCCAGAGCGGCCTCCGGCACCGTTTCCGGACGGATCCGCTGGATCCGCTGGATCCGGTGACGAATCCCAAACCGGCGCCCTCGCCTGAGACATCCTCACAAAACGGGCCCCGGGGGGGATGCCCAGAGGAGCCCAGAGCGGCCTCCGGCACCGTTTCCGGACGGATCCGCTGGATCCGCTGGATCCGGTGACGAATCCCAAACCGGCGCCCTCGCCTGAGACATCCTCACAAAACGGGCCCCGGGGGGGATGCCCAGAGGAGCCCAGAGCGGCCTCCGGCACCGTTTCCGGACGGATCCGCTGGATCCGCTGGATCCGCTGGATCCGGTGACGAATCCCAAACCGGCGCCCTCGCCTGAGACATCCTCACAAAACGGGCCCCGGGGGGGATGCCCAGAGGAGCCCAGAGCGGCCTCCGGCACCGTTTCCGGACGGATCCGCTGGATCCGCTGGATCCGCTGGATGACGAATCCCAAACCGGCGCCCTCGCCTGAGACATCCTCACAAAACGGGCCCCGGGGGGGATGCCCAGAGGAGCCCAGAGCGGCCTCCGGCACCGTTTCCGGACGGATCCGCTGGATCCGCTGGATCCGGTGACGAATCCCAAACCGGCGCCCTCGCCTGAGACATCCTCACAAAACGGGCCCCGGGGGGGATGCCCAGAGGAGCCCAGAGCGGCCTCCGGCACCGTTTCCGGACGGACGACCTGACTGCATAACACGCCTGGATATGCCGACGGGGGCGAAGGAGGAGGAGGAGGAGGAGGAGGAGGAGGAGGAGGAGGAGGAGGAGGAGGAGGGGGAGGGGGCAGGCGAGGGAGCCCCGGCCCTGGGGGAGGGGCCCTGAGGGAGCCCTGATGGGCTTCCGGCACCATGGAGAGGTCCTGTGGGGCGGCCGCCCCTTCTTCTCTCGGTCGTTTCCCTCTCGCCCAGAAGCGCGCGCCCCTTCTTCTATATAATTATACAGAAACTCCCGATCAACCGCAGAGCGGCGGATGTTAACATTTCGTGGGAACCACAAAAGGTTCCTAGAACATTGTTTGGTGGGGCTATAGGCGAGCCGGGACGTTTCGCCACTGCTCGTCTCCGAGTTCTTCCTTCTCCGAGCAATCCCGGGGGAGCACGAGCTCGGCTGGAAGGACCGCCTGGCGCGCCTGCTGCGGGGCCTGCCGCTGGCGCCCGCGACCTTCGTGCTGCCGGGCGAGGCGGGGCGGCTGCGCCAGGCCTCTGCACGAGCGACATGGGCACAAACCTCAAGAAAGACACATCTCTCTCTACATAATTATGTATGTATATGTCTATATGTGTGTATATATGTATGTACATATATATATATATATATATATATATATATGTATATGTATGTATGTGTGTCTATATATATATATATATGTATGGCTGCGCGTCTGGACACCCGAAATGGGCACGGAAAGAATGGGTACGATGCCCAACAGCGGATCCTGTTCATCTTGAGCAGGGCTCGCGGTCCACGGAAATGGGTACGATGCCCGAAATGGGCACGGAAAGAATGGGTACGATGCCCAACAGCAGTTTCTGTTCATCTTGAACAGGGATCGCTGTCCGCGCCGCCGCGGCCTGTGCTCATTCGCGACAGAGGGCCGCCCGCCCAACAGCGGCCGCTGTCGGTTCGGGACATGATTTGCTGTTGGGCATTGGACCCATTCTTTCCGTGCCCATTTCTGGCGTCCAAAAGGCCGCGCGGGACGCCGGCCCCGAGCAGGCGTGGATCGTGAAGCCGTGCCACCTCCAGAAGAAGGAAGAGGTGCACAGGAATTCGATCGAGGCGAATTTCTTGGATCCGCACTGGGCCCCCCCTCCTCCCCCACGGCGCCTCCGGCGCCGCCCCTGGTGCGCTCCGCGCGCCAGGGGGGGGGTCCAGCGCAGATCCAAGAAATCCTCGCGGAGCGCCAACAGTTTATGTTCATGTGTTTTGTGTTGTTCTTGTAATTGGATCGACTACACGCTTATCTTTGAAAGTAGTTTTTTTGTTGACTCCCTGATCCCAATCTGCTTTAGGCGCCTTCCTACTTCAAGGTTCGACCGGTTTCCTTCCTCCTCAAGGGGCGGGCGGAAGCCCAATCTATTTCCAACGCCTGGATCGTGAAGCCGTGCCACCTCTGGAAGATTGAAGAGGTGCACAGGCATTCGATCGAGGAAGAACAAACGCCGCTCCGCGCGGATTTCTCGGATCCGCGCTGGGCCCCCCCCCAAGGCCCCTCGGGCGCCGCCCCTGGCGCGCTCCGCGCGCAGATGCAAGAAATCCGCGAAGAGGCGCCCAATGTTTATGTTCATGTTGTTTCTTCGTCTAATGAGATCGACTACGCGCCTGTGGTTGGTAGCAGTTTTACTTTGATTCCCTGATTCCAATCTGCTGTAGGCGCCTTCCTACTCCAAGGATTGACCGGTTTCCTTCCTCCTCTTCAAGGGGCGGGTGGAAGCCCAATCTACTTCCAACGCCTTCCTATTCCATGCTTCTACCCACGCCTTCCGACCAGCGTGCACAGAATTGATTTACCCCCAAATTGATTTTGCCCTTGAATCGACGAACCATTGCGTAACAGGATCCATAGATTTCTCCTCCTCCTCCTCCTCCGTCCTCCCTCCCTCCTCCCTCCTCCCAACTCCTCCTCCCCCTCCTCCTCCTCCTCCTCCTCCCTTCTCCCTCCTCCCTCCTTCCTCCTTCCTCCTCCCTCCTCCCTCCTCTCTCCTCCCTTTTACCTCCTCCCTCCTCCCTCCGCCCTCCGCCCTCCGCCGCCCTCCGCCCTCCTCAACTCCTCCTCCTCCTCCTCCTCCTCTGCCTCTCGCTCCTCATCGCTCCTCATTGCTCCTCCTCGTTCTTGCTCCTCCTCCTCCTCCTCGTTTTCCTCCTCCTCTTCCTCCTCCTCCTCCTCCTCCTCTTCCTCCCAGTGCCCCCCGATTTCTTGGATCTGCGCCGGGTGCCCACCCCCCGGCCGCGCCTCGGGCGCCTCCCCCGGCGCGCTGGGGGGGGGACCCGGCGCTGGTCGAGGGAACCCGCGCGCGGACCTCGCGATGGTGGCCACCTTCGGGCTTCAAGGTGGCCAAAAGATGACCATCAGCACCAAAATCTAGCATCACCTTCCCCTTGGTGGAGGCAACCCTCGGCGTTGGGGCCCATTTCTCATCCTCCAATCTATGGCTGTGCGGCTGTTCCTTGTTCTGACATCGGCGAGGGCCGCCACGTGCGGCTGGCGAGGGGCGCCCTCGACCTGGAGGGCGCCGCGGGGGAGCCCTGCGTCGTCTCGGAGCGTCGGGGAAGGACAAGAGATCCTGATGCCGCTGCTTCGGAAGGGTCTCGTGGCCACGGCGGGGTTCTCCGCAAGTTTCGTGTCAGAGCGCGCCCCAGGAGAGGTCCAGGGAGGTGCGGCAGTGGCACCTTCCTAGACACACCCGCGGGCACGTCGCTGTTTTTCCTCCAGCACAACTCCTCCGGGAATCCCCCCTCCGGGCAGAAGTCTCTGGCGAGGCCTCCGGGAGAAGCTCCCTCCAGGTATAGACATCTCCGGCGAGACCTCCGGGAGTCCCCCTTTCGGGTATCTAGCGAGAGAGCTCCGGCGAGCTCTCCGGGGCCCGTGTCTCGCCCGGGGTCCGTGTGTCCGATCGTCCATGGGGCCCGAGAGCGGGCCCATGGAGAGGCCCAGGTCCAGGGAGAGACACGCGCGGAGGGAGAAGAGCGCTCGCCTCGTCGGCGGCCTGGGCCCCTCAGGAGTACGTGCCCGATCCTCTGCTGGTCGGGGGGCGGAAGGTCGACGTCCGGGCCTACGTGCTGGTCGTGCAGGTGGAGCCCGAGCTGCGGGCCTTCGTCTTCCGCGACGGCCTGGTGCGCTCCTGCGGGGAGGATTACGACCTCAGCGACGAGGGCATCCGGCGCACCGGCGCGCACGTGAGCAACAACGCGGTGCAGACCAGGACGCAGCGGCACGCGTGCGGCCTCAACTGGACGCTGCGGCAGCTCTGGGCCTGGCTGGACGAGCACGGAGGCCAGACCCCAGACGTGATGTTTTCGCTTCTCAGGAGGGGGAGAACACACACACAACACACAAGACACAACACAAAACACACAACACAAAACACACAACACACACACAACACACACACAAGCACACAAGCATACAAACACGCACACACACAAACGCACAAACGCACACGCGCACACACGCACACGCGCACACACGCACACGCGCACACACGCACACACGCACACACGCACACACGCACACACGCACACACGCACACACGCACTCACACACACACACACGCATTCACACACATTCGCACTTATTCACACACATTCACACACAAATACAAACACACGCACACGCACACGCACACACAACTGTCGATTCCCAAGAGAATCTGGAAAATACGGGGGCTGGGGGGAAAACGAGAATCCCCCAAACATGCGAAAACATGGGGAAGTTTGGGATTTGTGTGTACTTTATCAGTGTGTCCCTGGGCCCCTTCAGTGTCACGCGGAGGGGACCCCCAGGAGGCCTCGACTGGGACCAGCTTCCAGTCCCCAGGCGTTTTTCTTGGACGGCCTCGGGGCCTAGCAAAGGGCCTCGAGAGGCCAAACGTTTGACAACAAGAACTCCCGTCGTGATGTTTCGGGGACTGCAAATGTTCGGATGCAACTCCTGGGAGGTCAAATTCTGACTTAGCCCTTGTCCGAAATCCCGCTTAATCCGGCTTAATCCAGGTTAATCCCGCTTACTCTGGCTTAATACCGCTTAATCCCGCTTAATCTGGCTTAATCCCGCTTGATCCGAGGCCCACTCTGGCGTAACAGCCCCCCAATGGGGCTTAATCCTCTTAAATCCTTCCGGCGAAAACCTCCCAGTAGTTGCTTCCTGACAAATGGTGTGGTTACGCCGGGGTGTGGTTTGCGATCGGCACTGTTGGGGCCTGGGGAGCACGACGCTGTCCCCGTCGGGCCGCCTCGGGGCGCGGCGGAGAGCTCCGTCGCGGTCGTCGCCCGCGGTCCGGGGTGCCCCCCAGGGTGCTAGCTGCAAGCCACACCCTTTGCAAGCCACACCCCTCGGAGCCGCCGAATGTCTGCCGCCATGCGAGAGGGCACGTTCCGGCTGTTTGGTCGGGCATGCCCTCCTGCCTGCGGATTTCTGGCGACAGATAAAAATACATCGAAAGATCTACAAACCTATCGGCAGAACTAGTTTTTCAAACATCGGTCCCCAGGCTATTGTTTGACTCTTCTTGAATTTTCTCCCTCGGAGGGACATGCCCGACTTAAGCCTGGGGTTTAAAGAGTGCCCCCCCTCCAGACCTGTCCTGGGGTGCGTCCTGACCATGCTCTCCAGTCGGATTCAGCCGCGGCGATGAGGAGGCCCAGAGAGGCTTCCACAAATGAACGACCAGAAGTCGTCGACCGTCGAAACTGGATCCTCGAAGTTCGACCCTCGGCCCCCAGGCCTCCGACGTGTTGCTTTTTTTCCAATGCGGGGCCCCTGGAACTCTGGACCACCTCCTGGCGACCAGTGCTTCGCCGCGGACTCCTCCTCCTCCTCCTCCTCCTCCTCCTTCTCCTCCTCCTCTCCTCGTCCTCCTCCTCCTCCCTCCTCCTCCTCCTCCTCCTCCTCCTCCTCGTCCTCCTCCTCCTCCTCCCATTCCTCGTCTCCTCCTCCTCCTCCTCCTCTCCTCCTCCTCCTCCTCCTCCTCCTCCTCCTCCTCCTCCTCCTCCTCCTCCTCCTCCTCCCCCTCCCCCTCCTTCTTCTGACGGTCACAGGGCCTGGCGAGGACCTCCGGGGCCCGAAAACAGATTCCCACCCCTCCAGCCGCTTTTCTCACGACGCGAACACGTCTGGATGCCTGAAACAACGAAGCACTTGTGCATCGAGGTAGGAGGAGGAGGAGGAGGAGGAGGAGGAGGAGGAGGAGGAGGAGGGGGAGGAGGAGGAGGATTTTGTTCGAGGTTTGAGTTCCTCGCCGTCGCTGGGAGGCCCGGCTCCAGCCGTCGTCTGGGCGCGCATCTTGCGGGCCGTGCGGGACACGCTGGCAGCCTGGCGGGAGCCGGCGGCCGCGGCGGCCGCGCGCGTGCCGGGGCTGGAGGCGGTTCGCTGTTGGAGTCTGCTGGCGTTCGACCTGCTGATCGACCGGCAGTGGGAGGAGGAACAGGTACCCATACCGCTAGCCTGGTGCCCTCCCCGCCGGCAAGAATGGAGACGCATTTCCCCCGCCACACGGCCAGCATGCCGCGCACCCTGCCTCGTTTTCGCCTTTTTGGGCCTTCTGGATTCGCCTCAAGATTCTGGTTGGAACGCACCCCGGGAGAGGTCCAGTGAGTAGCGGTATCGGTACCTTTGTTTTTCCAGGCAGGGCCATGTGTGGCTGTTGGAGGTCATCATCATCATCATCATCATCATCATCATCATCATCATCATCATCATCATCATCATCATCATCAGCAGCAGCATCATCATCCTCATTACCATCAGCAGCATCATCATCATCATTATCATCATCATCATCGTCATCATCACCATCACCATCACCATCACCATCATATTCAGCATCACCATCAGCAGCATCATCATCAGCATCAGTATCATCGTCATCATCACCATCATCCTCGCCATCAACATCATCAGCAGCATCATGAGCATCATGATCATCAGCGCCATCATGATCACCATCGCCATCACCATCACCATCACCACCATCACAATCACCATCACCAGTATTATCATTATGATTATTGTTATCAGTATTAGTATTGTTGTTATTATCATGATTACTAATTTATTACTAAAGCTTTACTAGTTTTACTCCTGTTCTCACCATCTTCAGCATGTGCATCAGCATCATCAGCACCATCACCCTCATCACCATCATCGCCATCATCACAATCTTCCTCACCATCATCATCACCATCACCATCAACATCAGTATCACCATCACCACCTTCTTCCTCACCATCATCAGCGTCATCGTAATCGTCGTCATCGTCATCAACATCGACATCATTACCATAATCCGCATCACCATCATCACCATCATCACCATTATCATCAGCATCATCATCGTCGTCGTCTTCGTCGTCATCATCATCATCACCGAAGGAAGATGAGGAGGAGGACGAGGAGGAGCGAGGACAGAGGTTCGAGGATAGGGGTTCGAAGTCATCAATGGAGCGAAAGTCCAGGCCTCCCAATGTGTCAGAGGAGGAGAGGTCTCGTCCTGGAGAGTTCTTGTCGCTACAGCTGGGTTCTCGAACCTCTCCTCAGAGCGCAGTGGGAAGCCCCCCATCTGAGGAGGAGGATCGACGATCCACGTTCGAGGATCCAGGTTCGAGGATCGGCGATTCCGAGCGCCTTCGGCGTTTCCTGGGCCTGCCTCGTCGCCGCGGCTGCATCCGCGCAGCACTCCCGGTCGGAGCGCAGCCCAGGAGAGGTCCGGCGGCCGACGCTGGACCCCCCCGGGGGGTCAAGGACTCCGGCGAGCTGCACAGCTTCCAGCACGGGAGGGTGTTGCCAGTTGGGCTGGACGCCTGGCGGGGCCCTCGTTCGGCCTCGGGGCAGTCAGCAACATCGGGTCCACGGGAGCCTGTCGGGAGCTCCAGGGACTCCGAATTGAACGGTGCCGGTCAGGAGCGGCAGAAGGACGTGCACGTATCTGAGGCCACGCTGGTTTCGAGAGTGCGCGTTGCCCGAATGTTCGTAGCACGCGGCCAGTCTCGTGGATCGAGGGGCCGTCTTCATGTACACAGCGGGGCGCGTATGTCCTTCGTGGGCTCCCTGGCTAGAAGGCCAGGCCCCGCTTATGAAGCCAGAGCGCGTGGGGCCGGACGACACCGCTGCATCGCCGATGCATCGACGATGCGGCCCAATGTGGATCCCGATGTTATCCACGCCGACGGCGCCGACGCGTCGGCGACGCATCGCTGATGCATCGGCGGTGCGCCTTCGGAGTCGTGAGAGCCCCAGGACTGGCCGCGTGTTGGACAAAAGCAGGACGGAGGTTGGCATAATTTCCAGCGTCTGGGGACCCTCGCGGGGCCTGCAGAAGCGATCCCGGGGAAGTGGTCCAGAGTCCAGGGGGCGGTGCAAAGCCAGCAGGGCCAGGGGGTGGATGCTGGAGGTCATCGGGGAAGCAAGCCCAGACTTTTTTGGTCTGCGGGTCGAGAGCGGGCCTCTTCCGGTTAAGAGCCAGGCGGGGCGTGCAAAGCACCAATTGGGACGCAAGCCCAGACGTCCAAGGAAGAGAACACAGCGCAACCGGAGCGGAAACACTCGGAGGTCCGCGTGGGCCTCGTGGATCTGCGCCGGGACCCTCGTGGCGGCGCCTCGGGCGCCGCCCCTGGCGCGCTCCGCGCGCCGAAGCAGCGGGATCCAGCGCCGATCCAGGAAATCCAAGTGGATCTCCGAGAATTTTGTTGATGCAGTGTTTTGCTCCTCTCGACGCGCTCCTGCCGTGGGATACCGGCGGCTGGAGGTTCTCGACCGTTTTCGGGCCCCCAGAGGCCCTCGCCGGGCACCCATGGGGCCGCCAGAGCACAGCCCGAGGCGAAAGACTGGCCCTGGAGGACGGTCAGGATTTCCGAGGGCCTCTCTTCGGAGCAGACAACAAGACAGCGGATGTCTCGGAAAGGGCAAGGCAGTGATACGCGGCCACGCGCAGAGGGGGGTTAGGGGGGAGGGGGGAGGGCTCCTTAGAAGCCCTCCCGGTTCTCAGGAGGCGCAGGGCCTTCTCTGCAGATGTAGGGCCGGCGCCGTCTAAGAAGCAGCCCTCATTCTAAGTGGCCTTCCCCCCTCACCCGCAACCCCCTCGCTGCGCGCCGCCAAGAAGCGTTCGAAGGTTCTCTTCCAAGATGTTCAGGGTTTCCCGAGGTGGCCGAGGGGCAGGAGCTGCTCGATCCAGCCTTGTACCAAGCCCTTCCGTGCCCTCCCTCTCCTGCGCGCGTGGCCGCGCTGGCCCCAGAGGGGGGCCACCCCGTCCGCGGTGCACTGGCGCCCGCCGGTCGTTGAACGCAGGTATGTCTGGACGCCCAGATCCCAGTCTCCTTTTGGCGCCTTCCTGCTTGTAAGTGTCGAGTGGTGTTCCCGCGTCCCTCCTCTTCAGGAGGCGGGCGGAAACCCCATCTACTTCGACGCCTGCCTGCTTCATGCTTCTACCCACTAAATTCGACCGACGGGTAAACCTTCGGACTGGAGTCGTCTGGGGGTCTGAGGTGGCCCTGCCCTGGTTCCAGCCAGCATGCATCTCGAGTAAGGGTTCGACTACATGATTGATGTACCCCAAGACCTTCATGTTTCTGCCCACGTCTTCCGACCGACGGGTACCTGATCTTTCCCTCGCGCCCTTTTTGGGACCGCCCTCATGCAAGCGGGGTGACTTGACTTTGCGTGTGCTCCTAGTGTTCCGCACGGGCTACAGGAAAGAGGGCCGCCATGCAGATGCACGGAAATTCTTGGGACGTGTCCTGAGCCAATCGCAACATGACATCATCCCCGTCCACTACGATGGGGGCGTTCGTGAAGGAATCTGCCCAGGAGGCTTCGGACCCTGGAGGATTCCTTATCTGATGTGGGCGGCTGCGATATCCATGGCCAATCCACAGTTAAGGTTCCACCAGCTTCCAGACCGCTGATTCCTTCCCCAACGGTTCCTTATCCAAGGCCCTCACCTGGACCACCACGCTTGAGCGCGACACGCTATCAACTTCCCGGTTTTCCGAGCGTCAATGCCCCTAGCCTTCCCGAGCTTCCCGCTTCGTGGAGCGGAGCGACCGGCTGTCCGTGTCGCCTGGGCCGTCGCCTCGACCCGCGAAGCTAACTCTGTACCATGATACACACAGACACCCTTCAATGGATTGTTCCTGGGCCTCAGGAGAGGGCCACGGTCTATACATCACCAGTGAGAGCCAGCGACTCTGGACACCGCCGCCCTCCCTGAGGGTACATACACAACTCGTCAGCGGGTGTCAGTGTATGTATCTTCGTGGCGTGCAGGAGTTTCTCACCAATAGTCAGGTCAACCCCATCTTCCCGCGTTCTGTTCCGAGCCGAATCGACCTGTGCGGGCCCCCGGGCCCGAAGCCGAGCGAAAACGCCCGTGGGTGAACAAGTGGCGACGCCTGGAGCTGCAGGTCAACCCCAAGCCGGCCCTCAGCGCGCAGAGCGCCTCCCTGAAGGCCGTCTTCCCCGTGCAGTACGAGGCCATCGGGTGTTCCCAGAAGTGTCCTCGGCCCACGGTGCCCCCAGGCACCGTGGGCCAGGACCACCTCTTGCTCGGGGGCTGCTCGAGGTGCCCCTGGCCCAAGCCTCGGGAGGGGTGCTCTGCAGAGAGGCCCATGCGGGTCTCCTCGGACATCCTGGGGGCACCCTGGACCAAGGACCACTGGAAATCCGGAGAATCCCGGAACTCCTGGCCTCCCTGGACATCCTGGACACCCGGGCCTCCCTGGAAAGCCATGGCGATCCTTTGGACATCCTGATTATCCCTGGGACTCTTTGGGGCGCCTGTAGGGGGCCACACGCGAACCCTACCCTTACCCCCCACGATTTCTGAGGGGGAGGGTGGGGTTCACTTCGTTCGGGAGCTCCCGAGCGAAGTGAACCCCACCTCCCCCCCTCAGAAATCGTGGGGGGTAGGGGTAGGGTTCGCGTGTGGCCCCCTAGCCTGGGAAGTCCTGGGAGCCCTGGCCCCCCCTTGGGCCACCTGGTAATCTCCTGGCCCTCCTGGCGGGCGCCTCTGGCCGCACTTGCGAGGTCAAGGCGCCCCTGCTGGCCGACCTCTTCGGCCTGCTCGGCCTCCCGGACCGCGCGGGCGGCCCGCCTGCCCCGGACGGCCCCGGCGCCTGGGCCTCCTCGAGGAAGAAACGTCGGTCGCGGGCGATTTTTTCTCCCCCGACTTCACTGCGAAGAATGATCGGGTATGGCCAGGACCCCAGGTAAGGGGACCCGGTTAGTGGTAGGGCCCCGGAGCCTTCGAATTGGCCAGAATCACCAAACCAGGTTTGCCATAGCTGGTGCTTTTGTCGGGTGACGGCAGTTCCGGTTAGTGGAAATGGGACGGGGGGGCGCCCCCGGTACAGATCACTAAACCAGCTTCCATTAAACCCAGCTCTACCAACGCCCGAAATGAAGCTGCTCAGAAAAGGAGGGGAACCCTGGGGCACACCCCGAAGGGGCTATTCGGACGCACCCCCTATCGAGGATGGACCTCCCCCCCATCGTATATCCTGGGGTTGGGCCCACAAATTGCTGGTCCATTCAAGAACCCCACGAACCCTGGGAACAAGGGGGCCGACAGATCCCCTGTTGAACGGCATGCGGTCGGACCGAGGTGTAGGATCGAGGTCAGTTCGGGGAGGGTACCCTAGTGTTAAGTCGGGCGTGTCCATCTACAGGAGGAATATCGAAAAATAGTCAAACAATAGTGTGGGGACGATTTGTTTACCATGTTTGGGAATTGTTCTGCACTTTTCTGTTATTGTGTAGTTTTCGTCCAAAATCCGCCTGTAGTGTCCGACCTAGCCCTAGTGTTCTTCGTGTTTGCGAAATGTTCTTGTGCCTCCCAGGGCAGGGTACCCTTGAACGTGCTTCACTTTGGCCAGCGAGGGTCTCATGTTCCTGGGGGATGCTCTTCTGTCCTAGGCCCAGCTGCAGAAATAAAAAATCTGCCGGATGCCCGCGCGGACCTGTTGGATCCTTCAGATCTCAGGGGAAGAAAGACTGACACAAGCATGATTTTCTGGAGGCCCGCGGATTCATTGCATCGTCGTTGGAGCCCCCAGTGGCGGCGCCAGCTCTCCGCGCGCCAGGGAGGGGGAGCCAGCGCCGAGCGGAGGAAGCATCTCGGACCCTCGAACATTTGCGGGGAGCCCACGCACAAAAGCTTGCGTCGGGCATGTTCCTCTATATTCAGAAATAGTATAAGAATAGGCAGGGGACGATTGTTTGACTATGTTTGAGAATTTGTGGTGCATGTTTTGGTATATCTATAATTTGTCGCCCCAAATCCTCCTGTAGGGGGACGGGCCCGACCTGAACAAAAGGTGGGTGTCTCCCGGGGATGGTGGTGAGTTCGATCGGTTTTAGCACTGCACCGCCCACATCAGACGGCCCCCAGCCACCAGCAGCTCCTTATATAGTTGCCGATATAGGTGGGGCATGCGGGGGGGGGGGGCACCTGCTGGCGACAGCTCGGTGCACCAGCGGAGCGAACTCATGCCCCTCCTTAGGGCCCCCCCCTTCTTGGTGGATCCCGGATTTATGCTTATGTCGTTCCTTGTTCCCCGGGCTCGAGCTCAACGGTGCGTTGGCAATTTCGTGGACCGTCTTCGTCTTGACTTCGTTTTGCAGCAAACGTGGAACGAAGACAGAACTAGGGATGACGAAAACAAAACGAACACGGAAAACACTGTTTAACTCAAGCCCTGCCCTCAGATCTGGCGTTGCATGTTTGTCACACCAGGCGTCTTCGCCCGGCTCCAGGCCCCGGGAGCCCGCACAGCTCGGCCATGGCTCGACAACACTGGTGCAGAAAGGCGGTGTCCGGGGTTCGGTTTTGGTGTTTCTCGATGCTGCACTTACTCACCGGTCGTTGAAAACAGGTATTCCTGGATTTCTAGATCCCAATTTGTTTTAAGCGTATTCTTGCTTCAGGAGCCGTTTTTTGTTTTTTAATTGTTGTTCTTACATTGATTGGGCGGGCCCGAACCCAATCTGCTTTGTCCGCCTTCTACTTCATATTCCTACCTACTTCTTCCGACCAGCGTGTATTTTCAGGCGATCGCAAACATGGATCAAGGGGGCGATGATTAGCGACGGGTCCCGGTTCCATTGGAAATCGCGGATTTCCGCCGCCGAGCGAGGCGGCACCGGCGCATTTTGGGGAGGGCACCTCCCCCGATCCATAGATTTTGTGGCCTCGCGCCAAATCCATGGATCGTTACTCCATGTTTGGCTCAAAAATTGCGTCTTGGGGCCGTCTTGGGGCGGGGGCTTCTTGGGCCCCTCTTGGGACTCTCTTGGGCCGTCCTGGGGCCATCGTAAGGGCCTCAAGAGCCCATCGGAAGCGAAAAGGCGAGAAGGCAAACAAACATGGATTATCTATCGGTTTTGAAGTCATTATGCTTGTCGGAGGCTATCTTGAGCCATCTTGAGGTATCTAGAGCCATCTGCGAGGCCATCGTGGGCTCTCTGGGACCCTCTTGGAGCCACCTTGGGCGATCTTGGGGGGCTCCAGCGCCTCGCGGCCCCCCCCCCTCCCGGGCCCAGGGGAGGGGGCAGGGGGACGGGCCAACCCGTCTCCCAGGCAGGGGGAAGTAGGGGCCTTGGCAGACCTGGCAGAGAGGACAACCCCAGACCCGTGTCAGACCACCTGCGCCCAGAGGGCTGCTGGGACTTCACGCGCCCCCCTACAGGAGGAACGTTCAAAGCAAAAGATGGTGTGGGGGGGACGGTGTTGCCATTCTGTGCTCTCATGCTCGAAGATTTGTTTTTGCTGGCCTGCGCCGCCTTTCCTTCCTCTGGGCCTCGCCGTCGCCCGAGCTCGGGGGCTTCGTGCCGCTGGACTTCGCGCCGCTGGCGCCCCTCGGCCCGGGCGGCGGCCTGGCCGCGCGCGCGGCCCTGGCGGCGCCCTGGGCGCGCCTGGCGGGCCTCCTCGGCGGGCCCGGCGGCGCGGCCGCGGCCGCGGCGGCCCGCGCGCGCTGGCCGCGGCGTGCCCGTGCTGGCGCGACGCCCGCCGCAGGGACGCCCGCGCCCCGCGCGCCCCCGGGCCGCTCGCGTCGACGCCCAGAGAGCGGCGCCGGTCGTGGTCCTCCTCCTCCACGGTCCTCCTCCTCCTCCTCCTCTTCTCCTCCTCCTCCTCCTTCTTCCTCCTCCTCCTCCCCTCCTGCTCTCCTCCTCCTCCTCCTCCTCCTCCTCCTCCTCTCTCCTCCTGTCTCCTCCTCCTCCTCCTCCTCCTCCTCCTCCTCCTCCTCTTCCTCCTCCTCCTCCTCCTCTCTCTCCTCCTCCTCCTCCTCCTCCTCCTCCTCCTCCTCCTCCTCCTCCACCTCCACCTCCACCTCCACTCCTCCTCCTCCTCCTCCACCTCCACCTCCACCTCCACCTCCTCTCTACACTTACACAATATTTATACTACTATCCTCTCTCCACGGATGACGGTCGGAAGATGTCCGGCCCCCTTCCGCGTATGGTTCTTTACACACGTTTCCCGGGAGTTGGGTTTTCGCTTGGTTGTGTTTTCAAGCTTTTGCTTCCGCTGAAGCGCTGGCGCCATGTTCGGGCTTCGCTCGTTCCGAGTCGTGTTCCCGCTGCAGCGCTGGCCTCATTTCCGCGCTTCCTGCTCGTTCCGAATCGTGCGCCCGCTGCAGCGCTGGTCTCATTTCCGCGCTTCCGCTCGTTCCAAATCGCGTCCCGCTGCAGCGTTGGCGTCATCATGTCCAGTGCCATGCCACGGCATGCAATGCAATGCTATGTGGTGTTCCGCTGTGCGATGCCATGCCTTCAGCTACAATGCTAGGATAAGTGCTTGACTACGCAGTGCCACGCCATGCTATGCCATGCTACGCTTTGATCTTCAACGCCATGCTTTGCCATGTTCTGTTCTGTGCCGCAGTGTGATGCCATTTTCGGCGTTACAATGATTTGTGATGCAAGTCTTCACTACGCATTGCCACGCCATTCTATGACATAGTACGCTCTGCCGTGCTCTTCTACGCCCTGCTATGCCGTGCTCTACGATGCATCGCGCACCCGTTCGTGATCATTGACTTGCTCGACATCCGACCGCGCGAATAGAGAGGAGGTCTACGACATGGTAAGGGATGGGAGGAAGAGGTGGGACGTCAGATTTGACGCGAGCGCACCTAGCTTGCCTCTCGCTTCTCTCTTCGTTCCTCTCTCCTCCTCCTTCTCCTCCTTCTCCTCCTCCTATTTCCTCCTCCTCCTCGTCCTTGTCCTCCTCCTCCTTCTCTTACCTCCTCCTCCTCCTCCTCCCTCCTCCTCCTCGTCCTCTTCCTCATCCTCCATCCTGTTTCTCCTCCTCCTCCTCCTCCTCTCTCGTCTCTGCTCTCTGCTCTCTCCTCTATCCTCTCTCGTCTCTCCTCTCTTCTCTCTCCTCTCTCCTTTCTCCTCGCTCCTCGCTCCTCTCTCCTCCTCCTCTCTCCTCCTCCTTCTCCTTC